CCTGATGGCTCCTTCTAGCCCCCCGGTCACAGGACGCCTGTCTCAGCTTGTGAGCGTTTGACCAAGAGGCCACATAGGAGGATGGGACCCAGGGCCTGGGGCTAGGGTCTCTGCCGAGCAGCCTGGGACATAGCTAAAACTCGGGGACTGCTTAGTCACCCTGCCAGAGAAGGCCTCAGGCCAGAATCAAAGGGCCTAGAGGTGGCCCCTCAGAGCCCAAGGCAGAAGGAGAAGTTTCCAGGGCTAAGAATGGAGGACTCGGGACTTAGGCTCCGACTCCCACTCACCAAGGGGGCCAGAGTTACCATGAGGGGCCTCTCAGGGTGAGCCTGCTGGCCCACAGCAGCCAGGGGGGTTGGACCAAGCTAAGGACTAGGGTGGGGTGACCCAGACTTGAGGTTATCCTGAGAACCCCTTCGCAGACTCAGCAAGCCAGGAAAGAGGGCTCTGAGTCAGGGCTTTCCTGCCCTTCGTTTTCTGCAGGTAGGGAAGGAGGCCTGTGTTTCACCCAGTGGGTGTCAGCACCAGGGAGAGAGCCAGGGTGTGCTTGAGGTCTCATGGGGAGGCCAGGGGTTCAGGCTGACTTCCGACCCTGCCCAGCCCTCCTGCCCCAAATTGATAGCTCAGCGCTCTTGCTCTCTCTCTCTCTCTGAAAAGCTGTGTGATTCAGCCCAAAGCAAGAGCTCTCAAGCTCTTTTTCTCTTCTCTCTCTCAGTAGAGGATCAAAACTGACAAAAAGGTGATTAATAAAACCTGCCAAGCCTGGAGTGATGATCCTCCCCCACCCCCACCCCCCACCCCCCCAGGGCTGACAGCAGGTTGAGACCAACGCCTCTTAGAAGAACAATGCCACAGATCCTCCAAAGTCCCAGGAGTACAAACACAGGGTGGCCATGACATGCCTCCCCTCGCAGGGTCAGGGCCCGGCCCGTCCCCTCCACGCCCCTCCCCTCCCCGAGCAGGTGCTTATGGTGCCTTAACACAGGAATGCCTTCCCCTGACCCATGGTGAACCCCAGGGCCCTCCTGGAGGAAGCTGGGCAGAGACCCATCCTGGGGCGAGCGCCAAAGCTTGGAGACTTGCGAGGGTGCTCAGTGCAGAATGTCAAAGCCAGAGTTGTCCTAGGAACTTTCCCATCCAATGCCCTCATTCACATGTGGCGAAAATGAGACCCAGAATGCCAAGGCCCAAGGCAGTGGGAGGCAAAGAGAAATGCATGGTTTTCCCGCTCTACCACCAACTCACTGTAGGCCTTATGTTGAGTGACTTCTGAGTTTCCTTCAGCAATGCCTTTCTGAGGCTCTGATTCTCAAGGATTTGTCCAGAGTTGCCAGATTGTTCGCCTGCACAGCTGAGGCGTAAATCCTGTCCCCCAGCTCCGAATTCAGGGATCCTCGCTTGGCTCTTGGATCAGGCTCCTCTCTCCTTCTCTCTTTCCCTGGACCACATGGGGGCTGGAGCCCAGGACAGCTGACCCACCTCCCAAAGGGTTTTGAGGCTCCCCCACGGGGAAGGAGCCTCTCATGAAAAGCAGACCTTCCCCAGACAGTGGACCTGGGCTGTCTGGTCAGCCCCCCTCACCCTCAGAGACCCCTGCTTCACATAAGCAGTAGTCAGGAGCCTTCTTCTGCCCAGTGTCAATGCCCCGAGTCCTTACATGGCTATATTCCCCAGCTTTCTAAAATCCTTTATACTGCCCGGGCTTCACAGAAACCCAGGGAGGTCGGCAAAGGCTTTGAATTAGGTGGAACTGAGTTTCAACCCTCTATCTGCCATCGACTGGCTCTGTGACCCCGGGAAAGTTACTCAGCATTTCAGTGGTTTGGTGGCCACAACTGAAAACCAGGCATTAGATGAGTTAGCATGTGAAAAGCACCTGATATGCGGGAAAACTTGGCAAGCAGGAGGTTGCTAGGCCCTCCCTTTTACAAATGAGGAAATTCAAGGTCATCCTTGGGTCTGACCTGTCCTGGGCCTCCATTCTGTGCCAGTTTGTTGTGCTTCCATCTCTGGTCCCTGCAGCCAGCATGGTACCCACAAGGACCAGACAAGTGACAGTTGGTGGCATTCCTATCTTATTTCCCCAACTCAGCTTTACATTCCCTGAGGAAAAGGCCTTTGAGTACCCCCAAGTACTACTCCTGGCACGGGGAAGCTGTCAAATGCCTGAGAAGCAGTTTCAGGGATACTCTGTCTGCTGGCTTTAGGCGAGAGGGGATGACGACCAGGAGTAGTATCCAGTGGGGTCATCCCAGCTGCAAATCTCACGGGAAAGGCTGCCAGCTCCAGATCTCCCCCTCTGCTGCCTGCTGCCCGCCAAGGGACAGGTGACCACCAGGCGCACACTCACCCAAAGTACTAGTGAATGTCCGGAGCCATGTCTAAGGCGGGGAAAAGCAAAGGAGAAGCAAGGTCATGCATTAATTCAATGAATATTTATGTAGCTCCCACTCTGAGGGCTCAGCAGTTCAAGGAGGAGACACAGCCCCTGGTGTCACCGATCTCACAGGCCAGGTTCCCCTTGGAAGTCCCAGGATACAGATGAACTCATAGAGAACCTTGAGTCTGGTCCAGCCAGGTTCCCCAGTTTAAAGGTGAGGACACTGAGACCCAGAGAGGGACAGGGTCCAGCCAAAGTCCTCAGGGAGATGGGTAGGCATGCCCCGTGCCTGCTCTGGGAAGCCCAGCCTCACCCGAGACTAGCCCAAGTCCCTAATCCCTGGTCCCAAAGCTAGCCTGTCTCTAAAGGATAAGGAAGGCCTGCTGCCTGCCTCCCAGATTGGTTGGAAACCAAGCCCCGCCTCAGTCCAGGGGCAGGCAGAAGGTGGGCCATCTCTGCCCAAAGACTATTTAAAGGGCTCAGCCGGGAACAAGTGATCCCTGGGTGTGAGCTTCTCACTCTAGGGTCAGGCAGGAAACAGGATTTGGCAAGTCCAAGGACCTCTCTCGGACCCCAGAATCCCAGGAGAGCAGGAATGGGCTCATTCCCTCTCCAGCCCAGGGTCTGGCCCTGAGAGAAGGCCCACTGGATGAGGAGGGGGCCCCACCTTACTTCTCTGCACCTTTGCAGACGTTACTGTGACAAACTGTGGGCTGAGAAAACCCTTTGTGGGTTGCTCTGAAGACCTGAGACTCCTCGACAGAGACCCGGAGGCCAGTGAAGCAAGAGTGGCAGTCAGGCCGTTGGGCCTGGGAGACTGAGGAAGGGGCCTGGCTCTTCTCAGGATGTCCCTGTGCCCTGGGCTTCAGCATGAGCTCAAGCCCTGGTATGAGCGACTATGGTTAGACACGAGAATACTCTTGCTGACAGTAATGGCTGGATGACATTTGAACAGGTTTCCCACAGAGGTTAAGAAAGGGGTTTCAGATTAACACACCCTCTTCAGAAAGGTGTTGCTGGTTTCCGTCACCCTCGAGACATCAAGGGAAAAGCAAGGGTCTGAAACCAGAGAGACCAGTCCCGGGCCCAACCTCACTGCTTCCCGGCTGGCGACTCCATTCAAGTTACTGAACTTTCCTGAGCCTCAGTTTCCTCTCTGAAAACTGATGCTGTAGGCTGATCCCACCTTTACAAAGCCTCTGGGAGAGTAAATGAGAGACCATCCACTGAATGCCCTGCCCAGAGCCCTGCAAAGTATAGACACTTAATAAATTCTGTTTCATTCCTCCAGCCCCAGAGAAGTCTGGCTTCAAAGTGTGTACTCAGGAGACACCTTCTAGATTAAATCTCCCTCAGAAAAAACAGGCGCCACCCTCTGTCCAACCAGGATTGCTGGGCAAGGAGCTTCATCCAGCAAGACTCATGGAGGTGCCTCAAGGGGGCTTGATTCTCCCCCCGCAAATGATCTGATTCTCAGGAGAACAGAGGCACCTCCAACCTCCTCTTCCCAGCAGGACTAAGAAACCGGTTTTCCCTCTCCCCCCAGGCCTCACCAGAGCCCAGCCCAGCCACAGAACCCAGAGTTCTCTGCTTCCTCATTCCTTGCCCTCTGTCTGGGGTTATGAATCCCAGAAGAACCAGCCTCAGAGCAGAGGCAAAAAATTAAGTGTGTGTGGATATTGCTGCCCTAATGAGCCCAAGGGCAGAGATGCTGGGGACAGGGGAGCAGGAGCAGGGTTTGGAGTGAGGAGGGCCACAGGGGTTGATGTTTCTTTGGATTTAAGCTCACAGAAATCAGGGAGGGCTTCCTGGAGTTGGTGTCTTTCCCTCAAGCACTTTATTTGCCTTCTGGAAAGGAGATGGTGGCTTCAGGGGGTGAGGGGGTGGATAAGGTCCCTCTTTGCAGGAGGCAGAGATGTTACCTGGCTCAGCCACTCTGGAGGTCAGGTGTGCCGGACTGGAAAAAAGGGGAAGTTCTAGGGACACATATGGGAGGACCAGAAATAAGGAGGAAGGTCCTGGCAATGAGCTGTGAAGGGCCAGGGCCTGGGCTCCCGGAACAAGCACTGGACTTTGAATCATGCAGATGTGGGGCCCAGTCCCAGCCCTGTTGTTCATTATCCATCCCTGGCAAGTCATTCACCTCCCTGACTTCCTCATCTCTCAGATGGGAATCATAAATCCTGACCGCCCACAGTCACATTAAACAAGACCCATGGGTGGGGTTGCCTAGCACAGTGCCAAGCCACACAAGGGTGAACCAGTAATATCTATACAGTCAATTGTTGGGTAAATAACTGTTCAATGCGACAAGTACTGTGCTGGGTACACACAAAATGCTCTGAGGAAGATCCCCATCTCCTGCTTCCATGATCACTGAATGGAATAAGCCAGAACAGCAAGTTACCTGAGCAGCTTGAGTTGGTCCTCAGTGCCCTGGGCACCCCAAAGAATGAATTATGACCATGCAGAGAAAAGGGCCAAAGTAAGAAGAGATGCCAACCTGTGGGTCCTAGGCCTACAGAGGCCCCCAACAAGAAAAACTGGACATACTACCAAGAGATATTTGCAAAAGGAAAAGCAATTCTTTATTGCACAGACACGGTACAAACGAGCTTGTTACACGATCCAGCAGCTTCTTGCCTGTCCCTGCTCAAAAGCGGATGGGGAGAGCTGGAGGGGAGCACGAAGGGGAGCATGCCAAGCACCCAACAAGGAGATCTGGATCCTCTGAAAGCAGGGACTGGGGTTTGCTCTTCTGGCCCCTCTGGCCAGTCCTCCACCCAGCCTGGGGAGAGAGGAGGAGACGAGGGACGTCTCTCCTGCACCGGGCACTCAGACCTCTCTCTTGCGAGAAGAAACCACCTTCCCCTCCACTGCCTCCTCAACGTTGATTCGAACTTTGCCACCACCACCTCCCAGGGAAGCTGTAGAAAGAAGGAGCAGACTTTAGAGCGGGGGGCCCTCGCTGTTCTCCCTCCCAAGGCAGCCAGGACCTTGGCTGAGCTCGGGGAGAACTGGACAGCACCCCTGAGAATGGCCACTGGCCAGGAGGTCTGGTGCTGAATCACTCATCATAGAGGTGGGCGGTGGTAGCAACAGTTACGCCCCGCAGTGAGCAAGAGAGTCAGGGATTTAACGGCAGGTGAACGGGAAGTGATGGGGGGCTTCTTACCATTAAGTGCAGGAAGGTGGGGCCTGGGGTAAGCTATTCCCTGGACAAAGCCTGCTCAACCTGGAAGGTTCTCAATAAATCTTCAGCCCCCACTCTACTGGGGCTGATAGAGGGTCCCTGCGAAAGAGGTATTGCCTAGAATGGGTGTGTCCCCTCCCTACTGGCTTGTTTGGCATCTTTCTCCTTCCAGCCCATTCCGGGGGAATGGTGGCTTCAACAGCTCCTCTTGCCACCCCACGAAGGAAGAGTGAAGCCTTCTTACCTTCTCTGGTGCCAATGCCAGCCATCCTAAAAGAGAGGGGAAGCAGATATAAGAGAAGGGCGTGAGCCCAGATCTCCTTAAGGGAGGCCCCGGTGGCTGGCTAAGCAATCCTCTCCAGAGCTCCCCACCACCAGCCGCACATCTGATTTCTCTAGAGGCTGGGACATCCTGAGAGCCTATCCAGACCTGCCACCCCTAAGCAGATAGATTCTGATACACAATAACACCCCATCTGCTTCCTTTATGCTGTCCCACTGCTGTCCGGGTAAGATGACTCTCCACCCCAACCCCAACCGGCCCCTCCCTCATTCCTCCCCCTGCACCCTCGCCCCTGCCTGGCGTCCTGGCCCTCCAGCAGGCTGCGGTAGGTGGCGATCTCCTGCTCCAGCCGCGTCTTGATGTCCAGCAGAGTCTTGTACTCCTGGTTCTGACACTCCATCTCACTACGGAGCTCACTCAGCTGAGCCTCCAGGCCGCTGATGAGCCCCTGGATCTCCTGCAGCTGCGTGGCGTAGCGGCACTCAGTCTCCGCCAGTGAACCCTCCAGCCCTGCTTTCTGGAGGGGCAACAGATCAAGAGACACCCCGTCAGGCCAGGAAGGAAGCTGTCGCGGGCATGCGGACCGACGTTGAATGGAGGGCAGAGAACCCCTCGGACGGGGCTTGGGAACCCAAGACTTAACCAGCCCTGGTTGGTGGGAAAGGCCAGGCCACGCTGGGGTGGGCTGGGGTGGGCTGGGGGGCAGGTGGCCCTACCATGCTGAGCTGGGACTGCAGCTCGATCTCCAGCCCCTGCATCGTGCGCCTCAGGTCTGTGATCTCCGTCTTGCTGGTCTGGATCATCTCTGTGTTGGAGGCCACCTCCTTGTTCAGCTCCTCTGTCTGTAGGTCACACACAATGCAAGTGAGGCCCACAGGCGTCCTGGGAAACCTGGGGAGCTGGGGCGGGGCTGCGAGGTCAGGCCCACCTTGCTGAAGAACCAGGCCTCGGCGTCCCGCCGGTTCTTCTCCGCCATGGCCTCATACTGCTCCCTCATCTCGGCCAGCACGCGGGTCAGGTCCACGCCTGGTGCCGCGTCCATCTCCACGTTGACCTGGCCTGCCAGCTGGCTGCCATACTCCTTCATCTCCTGCAGGGTGGGCAGGCCCATTTAGGGACAGAGGGCAGAAGAGAGAGCTGAGAGCCTGGGCTCCCACAGGCCCATCCTGGCTTCACGTTCCTGCGCACCCACCCCAGCCTCTGTTCCCCACTGAACATGAAGAGGTTCGAACACATGGGCCCCTTGGCTCTGAGGGCCTCTCTTCCTTGCCAGGTGCTACAGGAGGACCTCAAGACAGTAGGGCCTTGTCTGAGCTCATGAAACAAATCAGGACAGCAGGTCACACTGACCACCTGGCCTGGCTATGGATCTGAGAAGGAAAGGAGTCTGGGTCCCCAAAGGATAGTACCCCTTGCTCTCCATGGGGACCCCTGTTTTGGTGGAGGGGAGCATATCTGAACCACTAAGCCCTTCAGCCAACTAGGAGGAGGTGCCAGTGGCCCTATTCTGCCTCCCGCCACCAGCAGCCCCTGCCGGCCCTCACCTACCTCCTCGTGGTTCTTCTTCAGGTAGGCCAGCTCCTCCTTCAGGCTCTCGATCTGCATCTCCAGGTCAGTCTTGGCCAGGGTCAGCTCGTCCAGCACCCGGCGCAGGCCGTTGATGTCGGCCTCCACGCTCTGGCGCAGGGCCAGCTCGTTCTCATACCTGGGAAGAGAGAGGGAGCCCAGAGTAAGGACGGGCAAGAGGTCTGGGCTGTTGGAGCTGGAGGAGGGAGAGAAGGCCCAGAAAAGGTGGGGAATCCAGAAGGGGAGAGGGAGGCAGGAGCGCACTTGAGTCTAAGGTCGTCCGCCGCCAGCCGGGCGTTGTCAATCTCCAGGATGACACGGGAGTTGTCGATGGTGGCCGCCAGGATCTGCAGGAGTCAGGGAGTCAGCACCTAGAGCAGTGTTCCGTCCTCCCTGCTGCTCTCCCCACCCTGTGCCCCAGGTCGGACCCCTGGCTGACACCAGCAACAGAAGCCTGTAGGCTCCCCAGGGCAGAGTTCAGCGCCCCCTCAAGTGCCCACGTGAGGTCTGCCCCCACGCCACCCTTCCTGGCTCCAGGGCGTGAAAGACCAAGGAGCCCGGAGTGCCTGGACTCCCCTGTGGGAATTGCCAGAAGGGGTTGGGCTGGGGTTCGGTGAACTCTGACAACAGCCCTCCCGGGGATAGTCCACCAGCCTGCCCTGGTCACTGGCCTCCAGCACACCTGGACACAGCCATGGACCCACAGAACCTCCCACAGCCAGGAGGAACCTGGAGGGCCGGTCAGGAAGGCACGCTACGGCTGAGGAAACCGGTCCAGGTAAGTTGAGAGGGTAAGTGGCTGGCAGAGCACATCATGAGTTCGAGGTGTCCTGAGGCCCAATACTGCTTTTGGCACCAAAGATACCTCAAAGGGTGAGGCAGGTGGTCCTGGCACTCAGGGCTCCTGAGGTGACACTTACCGTTCTTGCAAAAGAAGCAAAGGGGCACCTGATGCAGAGCCCTGCAGGGCGTGTGTCACTGCCCCCACCTCGGAAGCCCCGCCTCCCCGCCCCGTCCTGACCAGAATCTCAGGATCCTCCCACACTGCCAAGTTGAGCGGATATTTGCTGGCATCACACCTGGAAAGCATTCCCTGCTCTCCCAGCTACACACTGGCAGTCGCGGCCCGGGCAGGAAAGGGTCTCCCCGCGGCAGCTGGAGCACTGATGTTACAGACGTGTGCAGGACCAGCCGCCTGCTCCGTCTCTCTGACACCCGAGGACTCACCTTGTCCCGCAGCTCCTCGATGGTCTTGAAGTAGGGGCTGTAGTCCCGCTCGGGGCTGCTGGGGCTCTGCTTCAGGTGCCAGTCTCGGATCTTCACCTCCAGCTCAGTATTGGCCTCCTCCAGGGCGCGCACCTTGTCCAGGTAGGAGGCCAGGCGGTCGTTGAGGTTCTGCATGGTCACCTTCTCGCTGCCGGAGAGGAGGCTGCCATCGCCCCCGCCGAAGCCCCCGCCGAAGCCACCTCCAAGGCCACCTCCAAAGCCACCTCCAAAGCCGCCCCCAAAACCACTACCAGCCCCTCCACCGAAGCTGCAGCTCATGCCGCCCCCATAGCCCCCTCCTGACCCGGAGGACACAAACCTAGCAGAAGCCAAACTACTGCGGCTTCCACCGCCCCCACAGAGACTCCCCCCACCAAAGCTGCCTCCCCCAACCCGGAGGGAACCCCCCCGGGTAGAGCCACCCCCAAAGGTGGAGGAAGAGGTCTGCAGAAACGTGGTGCTCATGGCCAGGCAGCGGGTGAGTTCTCCGCAAGCACAGAGGTGCTGGTGGGCAGCGCAGGCTGGGCTGAGCGCAGAGCACGGCCGGTCATCCCCCAGCCTGGGGCTCCTTATATACCCCTCCGAGGGTATTGTGGGACCGCGTCTCCTCCCCCCACCCCCCGAGGGAAGCCAACTCCTGTGTTCAAACGCAACTGCCTGCACACCTCTGCGTGGTTGGTGTGGAGTTTCTCTTTTCTTTCTTTTTTTTTTCAGCGCAATAAAAGAGATGATTCAGAATGAATGGTGTTTTGCCCCAGGGCCATGGTTTTAACACTTCCAATGCAGGCTCATCTCTGGCTCTGGGAGAACACCAAGAGTAGCAGGGAGCAAACCCCAATCACTCCGCAGCTCCCAGGCCTCCGCCCGCAGGGTGGGCGCAGCTCGAGACAGATCTGCCCTCGCTGGACTTCTCTGCTGCCACCGGCCCAGGGCCCTCACCCCAAGGCAGCCTGCTCCCCACTCTCAGTTTGAGAGTCCACTCCCCATCACTGCTCTGTGTTGTCCCACTCACAGACCCCACGTGCGAGCCTGCAGGGCCCGGGGAGAGCCATGGCTCAGCATGGGGGAGGGGAGGAG